ATTCAATACTCCGACTAAAAACTAAGCGCAAAAACGTTTAGTGGCTATACAACCGGTCTTAAACAAGGTCAGAGGCTAAGATGGCCGGATGGTTGCTCATTTTATAAAATCGTCTGTCCCAACATGGACAAAGGCGTCCGGCGACACCCCTCCGGGTGCAATCGTTGCAGAGAACAGACTATTTGTCGGTTCTATGTACCAATGCAGACGGCAAAAATTGAACGACCAAATTGGCCAACTCATAGCCGTCTGACCAAAATAGCCTATGAAGAGCGAACAAGTTTCCAGATACCGGATGCCCATATGCATCAGTCGGTCATTGGTAGAAATTCTTACTTGGGTTATTTATTCCAAAGTTGCACTTACTTCCCCTATTGGGGCACAGGTTTGTGTAACGGCTACGCGTTAACCACAGACGGAATTTAAACGCCTGGGTAAGAAGCTCAAAACACCCGTTTTTATGGCCGGCTGTGCACTTGGTTTGGGGCAATCACCATTGTGATTGATTGGCCTAAAAACACTCCATACTTCTCCAAGTATCAAGTGTTTTCAAGCCAATCAATCAACCTGGATCTAAACCAACCGCACAGCCGCCCAAGGGCAAGAGCACTCGGGTTGCAAATGGACGCATGTTTTTTTTAAGTTAGGCAAAATACTAAAGAATTGCAAATAGATGAATAAAAATTCAAATTGAAAAAAACTCAAGACATATATAAAATCCGACTGAGTCGGAATACTTCATTTATATATAAAATGGCACAAAGGCCAGAATAATTGTTAATCGGACACATCCGGTGCAGAAGGAAAGTGGAAACGTTAATCCAACCCCATGGTTGGTAAAAAGATACAACAAAACACGGCATGCAAACCGGCAAACAACATAGTTGGCATACTGCCGCAGAAAGGTAGGAGGACTGACTAAGGCTTAGGCAGAGTCTTCTCTGGCTGAGCTTGGTTGGCTTGGCCCTCCTGCTGATCATCCGCCTGCTCCTCATCATCATCAGAGACTTCATATCCCTGCTCAGAAGCCCCGTCTTTGAAGCGAGGCGGTGGAGCATCACCCAGTTGTTGGGCATCATACACCTCAGTGGCGTAATCATACCTCAGCTTATAGAATTCAAAGTCTATTTCTGGGTAAAGGAGGCCCCATGTGATCTTCAGCCGGGCCAAGTTGTCCCGCTCATTCTCCTCGGTCAGCCGGGTCTGCTCCTGGGCCAGCTCATCCGCCTGCTTGTTGCGCAGGGTCATGAGCTCGAGCTTCAGGCGGTCATTGTCAGTCCGGAATTGGGAATTCTCTTTGTCAGCATCCTCTAATGCCTTGAGATCAGACTTGGCATCTTTCAGCTGCTTGTCAAGGTCATCAGCCTGGCTGTTAGCTTCATCATTTGCAGCCGTTAAACTCCGGATCAGCTCCTCCTGTTTCAACTCTACTGCTTTAATCTTTAAATTACACATATAATCAGAATGTTCAGCAAAGTTGAGGTTTTCTAGGGCCCTCCATTTGGCGTCATTTACCTCTTCTTGCTTCCGCCTGAAGGGGCCCCAGAGATTGTCCACCCTTACCATAGCCTGAATCAATAACAGCCGGTTTATGAGTTAGTCAGAATAAAGATTAAAGACATCAAGATAGAGGAATCATGTCCCTCAGCCAGAGAGCCCATTATCCGGTCGAAGTCCACGACCTGCAGATCAGGTATGGAAGCCTTCTCAGACCGGGTGAGGGTCCTCACCATCCGCTTCGCGAAGCCGGCGAGATCCGGCGGGTTAGGAAGCAGATATGCATCAAAAGTAGTTCTTTGTGAGATAGAAGCAGCGAATCTGGCATTCATTCGTTGCCGGCTGCTGACTGACCCTTTTGAAAAATCAGCCTTGGTCTTGACTCTCATAAAATCAAGTGGCCAAGGTATCTCAGTTTGTTCCTTACAGTGAATTTCTGGATGGGTCTCCGGATTGTTCTCCTCCCCAGTGGTTGCCGCACCGCCTGCAACCTTGGGTGTCTCGCCACCCTTCGAAGCCGTAGAGGCTTCCGGCGCTTTCTGCTGTTCTGAGCTTTCACTCAGTTTCTTCATAACAGCAGGGGACTTGCCCCCAGTTGTTGGACGACCGGATTGGGCAGAGTTTTGTTTTTGGGGGGGGATCCTTCCTTGCGGCTTTGGCAGCCGGAACCTTTTCCAGATCATCTCCTTGCCTTTTGAGAAGCTTGGAGATTGATCGAGGGATTCTCTTGGCGGACTCCTGAGAAAGAAGCAAATATAAGTATACCCAACCGGTATATATAAAAAAAAAATATGCAAACATTAAGTCAGGCAGTCTTACCCCGCCTTTCTTGTTGTCCTTTGCCTCGACGGCTGCCTTTTTGGCAAGTGCCGCCTCCTTGTGCAGTAGCGCCGCTGATTTAGCAGGAGTCTTGTCCTGGTCAACCATCTTCAGGGCTTCTTCTGCAAAAACAAGAACTTTAAGTTAGAATGAATTAAGGAAAGTTTGCAATAAAAAGGAAACAACAATTATTCCGGGTGAGAAGTATTCTACCCCTGGGAAACATTGTGCTCAGTCCGCAGGCGGACAAGAAGCATTCATCTTTGAAGAAGTTCAGATGGGGGATCCAGTTCTTAGGAACAATAATGTGAGTCTCATCCCCCATGTGCTCAGTTGTGGTTTCAAAGAATCCCGGCTCCATGATTTGCTCCCGGGCTTTAGTAGATAGTGTCGGGATAGGGCATTTGCGTCCAAGAAGAGCCGGCTCGGTGTTGTACCGGCGCAGTGTCCGGTTGTGTCTTAGGGTGGGGGAAGAAATCAGATAAAACTTGTCCTTCCACCCGGACCATTTGGACACTTTGTCCAGCGTCATTAAGGATTGGGGCAAGGTAGTTAGAGTATACCATTCCCCATGGCCGCCTGGAGCCTTGCTCAAATAGTGCATGTGAGCAAAGGCAGAGAAGCTGGGGTTCAAATTTTGGAGCTCGCAGGCGGCAATATAACTTAAAATGTTCACCCACGAGTTTGGGGTGAGCTGCCAAACCCCCAGATCGTACCCCTTAAGGATTTTTCTAATCCCGGGGTGGAGGGGGAACCGGAGGCCGGCTTCTATTACCGCCTCATAGCAGATGAAGTAGTCATCTGCATGATCTATGTCGTCCCCCCAGGCCATCACAGCATCAGCCGGAGGGACAAAAAACTTCTCATCCCCTTCTAAAGGGATGTTTCTCTTTAAAGGCCCTGAACCCGCTGTTAAGAAGGGCAATGTTGCTCGGCAGCATCCGGGTTCTTTTAGGGTTTGGATTGTAAGCTACTTTGGGCGGGTGCTGATAGTCAGCCGCAAAATCCCCCTGGTCAGAGCCGGAAGACTCTGCTCTTGATCCCTGGCCGGCCTCAGCATCGCCGGCTTCCTTGGAGGAGGGGCTCCCTCGCCGTCTACCTCCCTTACTCCAGAGCTCCCGGATGTAGAGGGAGTCTCTTCGTCGGAACCACTGTCCTCCCAATCCCTCTGATCCCCATCCGGGAAAACCTCATCGGCTAGCACTCTCATGGTGCGCCGGCTCTTAGACCGCCTGGCCGTTTGTTTCGTTCTGGCCATTGTGTCCTGCACAGACACATAGAGGGAGGAATTCGGAGATGAGCATATTGGTTCCAACAGTCCAGAAGAGGCACCCCCTGTTCTAGACTCAGCCGTTCCGGTGGATCGGCTGAGTGTCCTAGGTAGTGCCGAGTGGGTGGATTGGGAACTCATTTATATTTTTTATTTTCTAAAGAAAGCCGGGCATACAGGCGGAAAAAATTGGTATGTAAATCGAAAGGGAGAAAAGCCAAAATGGTACAGGCGGTTACCTTGCTTTACTGCTAGCACTAGGAAGCTTGAAACTTGCTGTTATGCAGGCGGGAGCAGAGAAAACTCTCTCTCTAGAAATCTCTCTTTTTCTCTCTCTAAAAAGTCAATATAAAAGTAAGGTGTGAAAAGGAGGGGGGTAACTTTCTATTTATAGAAAGTAAAAGTAGGGGGAAAATTTTGATTTGAAATTCAAAATTTTACCCGTTACAGTTCACCTATGAAAGGGGGACACGTGTCACAGGCCCCACGTGACATGCACGTACGACCTGTGAGGGGAAAATGTTTAGGGTATTTTTTACCCTAGACACGTGGATCAATGAGAGGTCGCCACGTGTCGAGCTCAGGATGGCCCATGTGGCTCAAGCTCCTCTTGACACTTGGCGCCCTCAGATACGTTTCCGGAATGGCGACCTTCAAAGGCCCAGATTCCTAGGAGCGCCGTAAAACAGCGCAGCCCACTAAAATCTAGGTCAAGTGACCTAGGTAGGGGCACTTTTCCTAACGACCCTATAAATAGGGAGATATTTCCCCATTTTGGGGACACATTCAATCATTTATGACACCCTTATTCTCTTACATCAGAGAAAGACTTGAGCTTGGAATCCAAGCAGATACCCACCTAGTTTCCGTTCTTTTTATTCCGTTTCAAGTTACTAACTTGTGCGTCGGAGGCGAATTACCACCCAACCGGTGTCTCTGTTTGTTTTGCAGGTACAGCTCACTGCGGATCAGTCTTCGTGTTGTAACTCTCCCAAGGGACAAAAACACCCAAAACAGTTTTTTTTTTTTTTTTGAATTTATATATGCTCCTAATTCACTTTTTTGAATGAAGCATTTCATCGTAAGGGATGGAGGAGGAAGATTTTTGTCGATGATTATACACAATAATCACTTTTGGCTCATGTAGCTGATTCCACTTATGAGATTAAGACTTTGATTGATTGATTGACTTTCTCCTATGACAATCTTTTGTGATTTATTCATGGGAAAATCTTATGGTTTTTTGTAATCATTCTAAAATATTTTTAAAAAATACTCTTAAAATATCAACTTTTTATATTTTTAACTAATTGTAGTATAATTGATGACTATGGTGTAAGTTTTGTATTATTGATAAACGTTAAAACCCAAAAACCGCAATAATTCAAGAACAACAAAAGAAGCATATGTGAAATTCAACACCATGTATAACCCATACAATTAAGTATCTCAAATACAAATCTCCCAGCCAATTTCATTTACACACAAAAATGGAGGATTGAAAATATATATGGTTATACATAATAAACTAGGCTAGAGATTCTGCAAAACTTACAACACTTAGCTTGCAGTTGTCATCTCCCCTCTTAAAACAAAATTACAATCCTTCAATAATCCTCCATGTTATCACAATTGTTACACCCGTAGTTATTTACCTCAGCTCGCGCTATATACAGTTTTGGTTCAGGTTAGCATGCCAAGAAACAAACGAACAAACCCATCAAAGTATATGAAGAAAAAAAAAGGATCAACTTATCAAATGCACTTGTTACTAAGCTGATTGATTTCAAGAAATTACGAGTTGTTCTTCTTTTAGGCGTAGGGTTATTGGTCTTTGATCATTGTTGTTACCGAAATTCACTTGACCTACAGAATTTTGTATCTTCATTTGTGTTGTATCAATGTTAGAAGCAGTGTTGTTGCTACCTCTTGTAGCAGGAACGTCGTGGTTGTGCTTGCCCTCGTAGGTTGTTATTACTGCACTATAGTCTGTTGATGCCCTCTCTACATGTTTGCGGACTTTGCACCCCATTGTTGTACATTTGTAGTAGCTCCTGTATGAAGAGGATATTGAAACACATAAATTTAGAACCGTTTTTAAGACATACGAGACATTTCTATTAAACACGAGGTCACCATATAGAATTTCCCAAATTAATGGTTGAGGTTCAAGAACACACACCGTCACATGAGAGCCCATTGGGCTTGATGTGTCGATGTAGCATGGGCTCCACTATACCCAGCGTATAATATTCCACTTTAAAAGAAGGGGTGAATGAGATTTGAATTTGTGATATTTGTGTCACGCTGGCTCTGATACCATGTTAAAGAATCAATGCAACCAAAAACTTGCGCTAATGTACTAATTGTCGTGCACATTGGTTGTACGTGAAAATTTGGCAAGTTTATATCACCAAGTACAAAAAAATAATGTGTAAATTGTTCATTGTTATGTTGATGATGGACATAAAATGTTAAATTTAAATGTGATAGAGTATAAAATATATTCCTAGACCTAAATCATTAGGCTAAGCTTTTGGTTGAGATGATCCTTTAACATGGTATCAGAGCCAGAGAGACACAAAGGTCACGGGTTCGAATCTCATCCTCCCCTCTTTCAAAGTGGAATTAATTTGTATCCACATTTCAAGCCTAAAGAACCTTTCATGTGAGGGAGAGTGATAGATTATAAAACATATTCCTAGACCTCAACCATTAGGCTAAGCTTTTGGTTAAGATGATCCACATATGTAGAGAATTAGATATGTAAGCGAAATAATAACTGACCTTGGATTAGGGTTGCCTTTGACAACTTTTTGACCATACTTGCGCCATCTATAGCCATCATCCAAAAGATCAACATCACTTCTTGTTTGCACAACAATTTTCGGTTCAGTCATCGTCGTGCGTGTGAAGGAACCATCGGATTGCCCTGCTCCGCCATTCCTGTTCATAAAGAAGCATGAACATACACCAAAACGTTATTTCATTTCACTCTAACATCATCATCTCTTTTTAATAAAAGCAGCTAGTCCTTTTCACCATTTTAGATAAATTTCTATGCATCTATTGCATGGCATTATAATAATGCATGAGGGTATTATATTACTACAAAAATAATTATTGATATGAGAATATAATAGTTCAAGTTACCAAGTGTTATCTTGATCGATTTCTCTTTTCATACAGATGTATAATATGCAATTATGCATGATAAGAACATGCTTCTATAAAAGTAATTTTGATGACAAGTAATCTAGTAACAATATGTTTGCATGAACCATCATATCTAATTTTTCAATATCAATGTAGAATTTAAATTCTCTGTCCTACTTTTTGTGTACCATAATAAAGTGTCTCTCTAAAAGTACTTTTGACGATAAAAATAATCTCACAATGTCGTCATTTTGATGATAAAAATAATCTAGCAATGTCATGTTTGCATGAATCATTACGGAGTATAGTACAAAATCAAACATTATGTGTTAAAAATTTAAGCTTTAGCAATTGAAAGTCACATGTATAAATGTTCTTTATAATTCAAATCTTTTGTCTCACTTTTTATGTATCATTGATACGCTAATGAATATTTATTTTCATTTGATATTGACACAATACATTGAGCACATAGAAAATGGGACATGTAAATTTTTTATTCGACACAACACAACACAACAATGTACGAAATACTTGGATACAGAATTCCATTGACAACATATTATTATAAAGTAAAGAGTACTTGCCTTCTCTTAGCTTTAGGCTCATCATTATAATCATCATCCTTAATAAGATCAGAATTTTCACCAGATTCTTCACTATCACTAGGTCCATGTAATTGAATAGATGTTGCTTGAGCAGAATCATACTCTCTTCCAACACCACCCGGCCACACGGAATTACCAAACTGCCCCTCCGAACCACCACTACCAGCAGCAAGCTGCAACAACCCACTATCCTTACCCCTTCTGCCTGTTTGAGGCCGCTCGTGGTTGTGCTGACCTTTGTATATAATCTCAGTTATATGGCCGTCGAATGAACGTTCCACCTTCTTCTTAACAGGACAGTTAGGAGTAGTACACCTATAATAACTTCTTGGGTATTCACTTCCTTTAACTTGTTTTTGTCCATACTTTCTCCAATTGTATCCATCATCAGCTGGTTTATCAACTGCTACTGGGAAGTTAGTATGAGGTCTCCTTTCGTGGTTCGGATGGTCCGGTACTGCTGGATGCCGAGAGGCTGTGCATGAATTGAAGAGTGAAGGTTGGTAACTCGACATCAATGAGTTGATGGATGAATGTTGATTTGTGTCTGGTTGATTGTTGAGATGAGCTTGAGCTGTTATGTGTGCTAAGGTTTGTTGTGGAGACATACCTAATGGACTCTGCATTTCATGTATCAAAAATCAATCAAAAAATATTACATTACCTTGCATTATTCTCCTACTTCAATCTTTCCCGAAAATATTACTCTTTTAGTTAAGAAAAAATACACATTTTCCAGCCTAAACTCTAGTTCAAAATCGTTTTTTTATTTATTTATTTATTTTTTTTTTTTTTTTATTTTTTTTTTTTTATCATCATCTCCGTTTAACTACTTGTGTATTTTTTTTTATGACATTTATATGAGCTTAACTTAATTAAATTAATGTATGAGACAATTGAAACCTCCTTATGCTTGAAAAAAAAAATTAATTATCACAAAAAAATTTCCTTGTGAATAATCAACATAGGATCGGACAAATAAAATGTAACAAGGGTTAAAATGGACCGTGACAATAATGATCACATTCATCTAATAGTACGTGTATGACTTGTAAATTAAGGCCTTGTTTGGAAAATGGCTGTTGGCGGTTGGTTGTTGGCTGATTCACTTGGCTTGTTTGACTAGCTGAAATATTTGGCTGTTTATAATGGCTTTTGAAATTGGTTGTTTTAGCTGGCTGTTTATAAAAGTGTTTGGTAAATTAATTGTTGGTTGTTTATTAAATAATTTGTGGGCCAACAAGCCAAAAGCCAACAAAAAAGCTACTCAAAGCAGCTTTTTCATTTTGGTTTAAAAGCCAGCTTTTTCGCTGACTAAAAAGCCAATTATTAAACACATTTTTTGCTGTTTGACCACCTAAAAAAATCAAAAGCCAAAAGCTAACCAAAAAGCTATTAAAAAGCCAATTACCAAACATGGCCTAAATGTGTATCATTACTCATTTTACAAGATTGTCCAATAAAATGAATATAGGTAGTATAAAGCTATAGCCTATGTTAAACTATCAAAATATCATTGGTAAAAAAAAAAGTCAACGATCGTACATGTCTACATTATATCAACCAAATTACAAATTTTATAAAAACTTTACTTCATACCATTATAATTCATGCGTTTCATGAAGATGAACCATATTTGATAATCTAGTTTTACACAACATTATTATTATTTTATTTGAAACCATTGGATAAAAAACCAAACAACAATAACTAAAATGTGCAAGAACAAAAAATTTATACTACCTTCATTCATATTATTTACAACGATTTAACATAAAATAGAGAGAAAAGATGTCTAATTGTTGCAAATAATATGAAACAGAGGTACGAATAATATTTACCAGTTTGTGAAAATATGCAACTCATAGATAAATTTGAAGAAGAAGAGTACCAAAAATGTAGGTGAGTTGAGGAAAGCGGAGGGGCTAAACCCCGGAGAAATGTTAAACACCGGCGCAACCGGTGGCAAAACCAAGCCGACTGGCCTATTTTGCTTAAAACCTGAATTTCCATCACCACCACCGCCGCCATTTTGATCATTCTGTCCTTTGTTATCGCTACCCCAGTTCAGCTCCCCCGAGGCGGGCAGCTGGGTAGCGATGGCTCCTGCTAGGAGGTCAGAAAAAGACCGAAACTCGCTCTCCGGGAAAGGATCGGAGAAGAGGTTTGTTAAGCCGCCGGGGCTCGCTCCTAGAGCCCCGGGTGATGGCCTTTGTTGTTGTTGTTGTGAAGGTGGTTGCCCAAATAATTTATGCATGTCCTTAAAATGATCACTCATTTTATGATATAATTATGTGATTGATTCTAAAAGATCAGCTTCTGTTTTTTTTTTGGTGGCTGCTAAAGATTTTGTCAATGTGATTGTTGGATTTTGATCGGGTTTTTTCTTTGTTTTTGAAAGTAGTTTGTGGAAAAGTATGAAAGGTTGGAACTTTATATAGTGTTAGCTTGGTAAACTCTTATCCCTTTTATGTTGTTTTCAAACATGTCTATTATATATTTAGGTGTACTACGGGACGTCCGGACCTATATGTATATTGTGTACGTTATGGGTAGGGCTTTAATTACTCTTCCTAACTATTAAAATATCTCGTCTTAGTAATTAATAAGAGATTTTTTTTTATTGAAAAGTTAGATGTGGTAGAACAATTATGAGATCAATTATTCTCAAAATGTATGTGTAAGAACTAATACTTTGTACATATAACATTCAAAGTTATCAAAGCTACCTCAAAGAACATACATTTAAATATTTTTAAATAGTCGAGTATATGTAAGAAATAGCATCCTAATGTCCCAAAAAAATTGAGTTTTATTGTTTTTTACAAAAACACGGTAGTGGATCGGATTTATGTAATTCGGTAATTAAAATTGTTGGTTTGTAATTAGAAAAAATAGTCTTGTTAATTAAAAGTAATTAGTTAACTAAAATAAAAGTGAAATAAAACTTTTAATTACAACGAAATTTTTAGATGAAATGAGACTTTTGTTTGAAAAAAGATTCATCATAAAGTATATATATAAATCGATCTTGGGCTATAACCATCCGTGGCGGATATAGGAAAAAATTTTAACGGGGTCAAAATACATTTGATCAATTTTAATGGGGTCAAGTAGGTAATTTTAGGGAGAAAAAGTTCAACTTTAAAACAAAAATAATTTATTAATTATATATGAAAAATATTTTATTTTTTGTGTTCAAGTGGGGTCACTTGACCCATTATTACTAGTGTCTACTTGTGACAACCATTAAATTAAGTTTTTGGTTGAGTTGATCTATTAACATGCGGATATAGAGTACCCTTGTTGGATAAGGATGAAGTAAATAGCAATGATATGAGGGTGCAGTGAATGGAGTGGACTAATTGGTGACGTTGTGAGGGATCTAACGTGGACCTTTATGTTGGTGTGCTTGCCCACACACTCACACAGTCACCAACTTCCAATTTTTAATAATGAGAAAAAAAATTCCTATGATTAGCTGTTTTTGTAGTTAAGCTCAACATGTTTTTATCCACTAGTTCATGACTTGAAGGGGACTAGTTGAGGGTAATGAAGGGCACTTCATTAACCAACAACCTACTACTTTTAGGTATCTATAATACCTCACGTGGGGGCTTTTATGGTATTATAATATTCATGAAAGACAAATGATTCCGCATTGCAACTTGCTTACAAGAAGGCGGGTTGGTATGAGTATGATTTTGATAAATAATACATTAATATAAGATTAGAAATAAATCTAATATATATATATATATAAAGGAGAGTTTTTTTCCGAGTTTTTAGAGAGCCACGTAGGATTTAATTTTCTTAGCGCGTCATGTAGGATTATAAATGTAAGTGGTAGCCAATTAAATAAGAGATTATTAATTTCTTTTACAATTAAAGAATTCAAATGCCACGTAAGCAAAATTGGCGAATGAGATTTTAAAATTTAAATTAATTAAATACAAAATATTATCTTTTAAGATTAGGAATTTTTATCTAATATTTTAAAACTAATATAATAACAATTTTAATCACATAAATATGAAAAATATTTTTTGATAAAAAATACTAACAAACCGTGCATCGCACGGGTTTCATCTAGTATTATATAAATGTGAGTTATAGTCTTATAGATTATAAATTAAATAATAATTTTGGGTTTTTTTTTACTCGTCTTGGGTTTTTTTTTATTTGCCTACATTCAAATTAAGTAAGTTCAGAACATTAAATGTATACTCTCTTTAAAAAAAATATATAAAAAAAACATTAAATGTATATAAATATACGGAGTATAAACAAAATTTAAAAGCAAAATTGGTAACAATTGTAGATTCCTCTTGGTTGTTTATTGTTTACTTCTAAGAAAAAGAAGGCAAGCTTTAGAGAAAGATTTTTGATAATTACTGCATTAAAATGAGGGATCAATTTATAATGTAGGATGAATTAAAAATCATATTGTACCAAATCTATCACCTTTTCTGATGTGATTTAATTAGGGTGTTAGTTATTTTGGTTGCCGTGATTTGGTTTTATGGAGATAGTCTTAGTATAAATTTTGTAATTTGGTTTGATTTTAATACAAAACTAGACCTGAAGCACTCCTAAATTTTGTACTCCGTAGTAAGATTTGTGGAAGGGTATACATTGTATAATATTAAATTAAATACCTTTTAAATTATATACGCTATATTAATATCAAGTTTATTTTTAGGATATTTTGTGAAAAACTACCTTTTAAACTTTGAATTTTGCGAAAAACTACCCTAAAAACAAAATGTTGTAATTAACTACATATAAAGTATAAAATGTTGTAATTAACTACCTTATATTATATAAAATGTTGTAATTGACTACCTCCCACTAGAATAACACATTTGATTTTTATTTTCAAGTGTTGAACATGTCATGTGAGGGTCACATGACCCTTTAATGACTTAATTCCCCCCTTTCTCCCAAATTTTCCCGCTTTATACCAACTCTTTTCCTTAACAATACGATTAATCATATTTTAGATTGTTTATTTGCAACACCTTTGATAATTATATGGGCTGAATTGGTGTAAAGCGGGAAAATTTGGGGAAAAGAGGGGGATAGATTAAAGTCAGTAAAGGGTCACGTGACATGGTCAACGTCGAGAAATAAAAGTCAAATGTGTCATTTCGGTAGAAGGTAGTCAATTACAACATTTTATATTTTATAAGTTAGTTAATTACACCATTTTGTCTAGGGGTGAACATGGTCAAGTTTGGTGTGGTTTGAGTATAAACCAAACCAAACCGCAAAATACGGTTTGATCAATTTTTCAAACCAAACCAAACCATATTAATATTGAAACCAAATCATACCAAACCGTAATAATGCGGTTTGATGCAGTTTGGTTTGCGGTTTATGATGAGACGACATTTTTTCCTAAAAATTGTCAAATATTAATAAATTTATAATAAAGTTCAAATAATTAGCCCAAATGGATTAAATTATACTACAAAGTTTTAATAAAAATAACAACCAACTAATCAAGTGCTAACACAATAACACATAATAAAAATAATACATAACAAATTAACAGTGGAAAAAAACATAATACATTTGTCCAAAAAAAAAATATTCATACTACATTATAGTTTTTAATAATTGGCAGCAACTTGACAACATCAGGGGCTGCATTATGCGATATCAATGATTGCCGGAGCTAAACTGATATTGGAGTATAGTAGTATACAGAATTACTGACCGTCTTCTAATGATTTTTCATGTTTTTTATTATTATTTTTTCTTTTTTAAAATATATAATAACTATTTTAATTTTTATAAATATTATATAAATACTAAAATGCGGTATACTGGTTCACGGTTTGGTTTAGTTTATAATTTTTGAAAAACCAAACCAAACCGCAAACCGTATTTCCCAAAAAATTAAAACCAAACCGTATTTTTCCAAACCGTAAACCAAACCAAACCGCTAAAATGCAGTTTGGTCTGGTTTGGTTACGGTCCAGACCAAACTCTATACAGCCCTAATTTTGTCTTTAGGGTAGTTTTTCGCAAAATCTGGAGTTTAAAAGGTAGTTTTTCACAAAAAATCTTTTTTTTTTTAATCACTTTTATGTATACCAAAAAATTGAGGTTAGAGCTTTCCTCCTGATTTCAGCAGATTCTGAGATTGATTCTCACAAAAAATCTTTTTTTTTTAATCACTTTTATGGTATTTTATAATTTAAGACATGTTTTACCAAGTAAAAATCAAATATAACAAAATTTAATGGCTGAGGATTACTCGTTGATTCGTTAGTAGCACTTGCACAAACTTGACTTTAATTCATCAGCACGTAACCCAACTTAACTTGCAAGATTAATTTGACTTAATAATTCCATAAGATGGTGATATATTTCGGTATTTCCAAATAAGATGTGACAATCATAATTGCTAATTTGCTACTAATGACCTACCAATACGTATAATATACGAAATATTTTATGCATAAAACTAAGCAATTAATTAAAGCAAAATCAACTTGACCAATTTGACTAAAAGTGTGATAAGATCTTTGCCACACCCACACGAAATCATGCACCCATTTTATTTTTTAATGCAATGCAATTTCAAATGATCAAATCTCTTTGTTGCATGGACCCGTCATAAACATTTTTATGGGTGTTGTGTAGTTTAGGATACATACATAGGTCATTGAGTTGTCGTCATACTTGGTTTATTACAACTGCCCTATAGTATATGCACTAAATGCATGCATTCATGCATAATTGGCATGGTATAGAAAGTTACACATCACTACATGTTCCAACTTCTTTAAATAAGATTGTACTTTGTGACACTAGCAACTCTTGAACTATAGAAATGCCAACGATTTTTGTCTGTGAATGAGAATGAAATACTTTCTTTGTCTCATAATATTTGGCTTATTTTTTTAATTTGATAATTCTTCTCTTTAACTTGATTTCGTTGTAGTTAGGCACCACACCTATATTCTCACAATAACTCCATAAACCAATTGGTCCAACTATTTTTCTATCTTATCAATTCTTTTCAACAAAAAATAAAAATATTTAATCATCCCCCAAATTAATCTAGAATTTTTAAATCTTCTTACTAGATATGAACATTTCAATAGTAATATATATATTTCCTCCGTTCTTTTATTATTGCATCACTTACCTTTTTAGGAAGTTTCACAAATATTACACCATTTCCTCTTTAGGAAAAAAATTATTTGTGTTCATACTATAACTACCCAACATACCCTTGCTTTTTCATACTTACTTTTTAATTTATCATATATCACATGGGTAATTTTTGTATTTTTACCTTTCTTTCTCTTACTTTTTTCCCCTACCAAAATATTTATACCCAACCCCTATGGTGCAGTAATAAAAAAACGGAGGAAGTATTTTAAAAAAAAAATCTTTTCACATGTCTTTAATTTTCACATATTAACCTTTGCCCATTTTGCTTATGTTTTAATTCTAAATATTTATTGGGATTAGCGGATTATTATCACCACACAATTTTACACTCTTTCATTTTCAGTCTTCCCAAATCCAAGCAGTATCATTAAGTAAATAATTATAGGAACCAAATAAATCTTCAATCAAAATAAAGTCAAAAAAGTCACCTAGTTGGCTATTTTTATCGTTTTACTTACGATACTCCTCACCTAGTTGTTTGCAACAGCCTTATACTTAGGCAATTACATGCATCATATACATTTCACTCTTGTTCTACCATAGAAAGTGACTGATGTGTACTAGGGAAATGGACGGAATATCAGATGGCATGACAAAAAGGTAATACTCGTAATTATTTAAAAGACTATTTTCTCTATCTGACTTTTGAATGGCCACAATAAAATTGTGGTCATTGTATTAAATCAAATCACAACCATTCATTTTAATTGAATAACGTGAACCGGTGATATTGTAAAAAAAATTAAAAAATTAACCCAAAAATAATAATAATAATAAAAAAAATACGACGTTCTTCATTATACAATCAATTAAATAATAGATTCTAATACAATATTCCGGTTAGCCAAAAAAAAATAAGCTTCCTCGAAAGAAAGGGCATTATCCCTAGCCCCGATAGGTTGGGCTACCATTCTCTGGACGGTTTTGCTGGACTCTTGGCTGTTTTTTCTAGCAAAAATGGCAGACGATCTTATCTCGCATTATTCCGGACTCAAATTAGATGATAATGGCGGTGGAGTTTTTGACCTTGGCGAAATTACGACAACTGAACCGCAAGAAAACCTAGAACCATTGCTGGTGGGAAAATTACTCACATAGAGGCCTTTCAATGTAGAGGCTTTCAAAAGAACAATGCTAAAAATTTGGGCACCATCCCACAAATTGGTAATTAGGGTTTTAGGACCCAATTTGTTTGCCTTCCCATTCTAGCATTGGAGATTTAGAGGGATAAGGAGAAGGTTTATGATGGGAGGCCGTGGTGTTATGACAACATCCTTATTCTTTTGAAGGAGGTGGAGGAAGAAGAACAACCAGGGCCTCGCCCTTTTGGGTGCGAATTAAGGGTTTGCTTTTTAATTGCCACTTGAATGAACATGTCAAAGCTATTACTAGTGGGATGGGTGAATTGATTGAAATAGAGGATGACACTTTAGGTCTTGATTGTTTTCGACGAGCTCGCCTACTTATGGATGTCACAAAACCTTTGAGGCGTTTTCAAAAACAATTGATATAAGGGGAAAAGAGGTGATAATTGAGTTTGCTTATGAGAGACTCCCATTTTTCTACTTTGCTTGCGGCAGCATGAAGCATTCAGAGAAGGATTGCTCTGCCATAACTGAAGAAGAGAAGAAAAAGGGCCTGGTTTGGGGGACTAGGCTTAAGGCTTCACCTAGGAGGGGGTGCATGAAGGAATTGGAGGAGATGAATGAGCTACCTTCTTGCAAGTGCTCTCTTTTTGTGACAAAAGAGAGTAAGCTCTAAACAACTAATGAAGAGGAGGGAAACAGAGTTGAATCACAACCTATGATTCTTCTAACTCATCCTCAAACTAACATGGAGAAACATGAGCTGCAACAGGACGGAACCGTGATTGTTGTTAGTTCTCTCAATGGCCTGGATGTAAATCAGATGTGTGATAGCAATATTGGTTTTTTGAAGAAGGGATGGGACGAGCCGAGAGTAGAATTTGCGGCACCAAAACCCATAAAGAATCCGCTCAGCTTTGTAGTGGGCATCAGTAGCAAGAAGGGAGGCGAGACGGGGAGGAAAATGAAGACGTTTTCTAAAGGGCAAGGAAGGGGAGCTATGAACTTCATGTAGATAGATGGTAGTGATGGCTCAGTGATAAGAGATAAAAATTCACCTCTTGAAAAGAACAATTAACAAATGCAACCTGGAGTTGGATTCTGCTGATATAGAGGAGTATCAATCTAGTGGGAAAAGGTCCAAGTTGGATAGCTCGATGTGGATTGACAATGATGTGGTGGATGTTTACTTGTCCCAACCCCGCCGAGCATTATGCTTCTAATGTGTTAGAACTGTCGAGGGATTGGCAACCCTTGATCAGTTTATTAACTCCGTTAGTGGAGTAATCTCTATGCCTCCTACATATTTTTATTTTGTCGGAAACGATGGTTAAGAAGAATGTGGTAGAAAACCTTAAAGAGAGGCTTGGTTTTACCAACGCTTTTGGAGTATCTAGCAGAAAGAAGGCGAGGGGATTATGTCTTTATTGGAGGGATGATGTGGATATGACGATTGTATCCTTTTCGTAATACAATATTTGAGGAGATATTCTGCACAATGAAGTTTGGAAATGGAGATTTGTTGGGGGTGTATGGGTGGTCGAAAGAATAAGACAAACACAAGACTTGGGCCTTAATTCGACACATTGTTGGTGAAAGTGACATCCCAATTTTATTTGGGGGAGATTTCAATGAAATTTTGAGTTACGAGGAAAAGGAAGGGGGTGTCGATAGAGTGAAGAGGGAGATCGCAAATTTTTGTGGTGTTATTAATGATTTTGACCTCATAAACATCGGCTATGAGGGACAATGGCATACATGAGAAAGGGGTACAACGGTGGAGAATGTGGTTAGAGAAAGGTTGGACCGCTTTTTGGCCTCATAAACATGGATTGATTTATTTCCTAATCGAACAGCAGAACATCTCACATGTATTAAATCAGACCACTCAACCATCCTCACTCAACTCTGTGCCAAATCGAAGAAAAAGAAGAAGCATAAAAAGAGGTTCAGATTTGAAACTTCATGGTTGGTAGATGATAGCTGTGAGCAAGTAGTTAGAGGAGAGTAGGACAGGTCTGACTAATACTTCCCGTATAACAGCTATGGGTAAGGGTCTTTTTAAGAGGAGTGAAACTAAATTCAAAGACTTTGATAAGCATATTGATAAAGTGGAACAAGCTCTTAATCAAGCACAGCAACTGCCTATCTCTACATGTAGTTGTAATGAACGCAAAAGACTTGAAAAGTTATTTGATGATCTTAATGACAAGAAGGAGGCCTACTGGTATTTAAGGTCCCGTGTGTCAAAGATTAGAGATGGAGATAAAAATACGAGCTACTTCCACCACAAAGCCTCATAACGAAAAAAGAAGATTTTCATCTCCGGTCTTTTCAATGATAAAGGGGTTTGGAAGTATGATGAAAAGGACCTCAAACACATTGTTTGCAATTTTTACAAAATTTGTTCTTTTCTTCCCTACCAGCAGCAGAGGCAACCCATGAAGTTTTGAAGTGTGTTGACCCATTTATTTCCCCTGAATTAAATGCAGAGCTACTTCGCCTTTCACAAGCAAGGAAATGAGACATGCTCATTTTAAAATGCATCCGTGCAAAGCTCTAGGGTCCGATGATAAGTATGATGTGATCAGGCTCAAGAACATATTGTCAAAGGTTGTATCGGAAAAACAGAGTGCTTTTGTTCCAGGAAGATTAATAACAGATAATTCTCTTATCGCTCATGAAATTTTCCATACGATGAAAAAGAGATGTAAGGGAAAGAAAGGCTGGATTAGCATGAAGTTGGACATGAGCAAGGCTTATGGTCGTGTCAAATGGGGGTTTTTGAGATAGATTTTTCTCACTATGGGGTTCGATGGAAGATGGGAGAACTTGATCATGGAATGTGTTTCTTCTGTTTCATACTCCTTTGTTTTAAATGGAGGGTATACGGTTCTGTCGTCCCCTCTAGAGGACTTTGACAGGGTGATCCCTTGTCTCTGTACCTTTTTATTCTTGATTCTGATTTTTTTCCAAGATGTTACAGAATAAAGTTTGGACTAGGGAGATTCATGGGGCCAAAGCAAGCAGACATGGCCCTTGGATATTCTCCTTTTTCTAGAGCTAATCGATAGGAACACATAATTGCAGTTGATATTCTCAACCAATACAAGGCGGTATCCAGCCAGAAAATTAAATATGAAAAATCAGAAGTTTCGTTTAGCAAAGGGGTCACAACTATTAAGAGTAAAGAATTGGTGAGTCTCTTGAATATGAGGCTTGTTGACAGACATGAGAAATATCTCGGTATTCCTATTGTTGTAGATGGATCAAAAAAGGCAGTATTTGAAGCCCTTCTTGATAGAGGGTAAAACACTAGTTGAATAAACTATATAGGCAGCCCCAAAGGCATCGATTATTGAATTCCTCTTCTAAAAACACCCATAAAAAAACAAAAATAAGCAAATGGCAAGCGGTTTTAGGTGAACCGCTTGAAAAAATGCAAATGACAAGCGGTTTGAACATTGAACCGCTTCCCATTTGCTAAAAAACCCTAAAAATTAAAACTTATCTCATTTATCACGCTCTCTCTCTCCTCTAAGCCTCATTTCTCACACATTCTCTCCTCTCACGCCTCATTCTCTCTCTTCTCTCTCCTCTCTCCTCTCCCTTCCATTTCTCACGCCTCACTTCTCTCCTCTCATTCTTTCTTCTTTATCATTTCTTCATTATCATTTTTTCACATCTCATTCTTTCTTCATTTTTTCTTCATTGTCATTTCTCACGCCTCATTCTTTCTTTATTTTTTCTCCATACTCCAAAATCCATTTTTTCTCCATACAACAACAACAACAAGGTTTCGGGTTCGACTACGCATATTTGGAGTTCAATATTGTGGGTCTGGGTTCAGATTTTTAGGTTTCAATTTTAATTTTTATTTTGATTTCGATTTTGTGGGTTTCAATTTTAATTTTGTGGGTTGTTATTTCGATTTTGTGGGTTTCGATTTCGATTTTGTGGGTTCCAATTTTAATTTTGTGGGTTCCGATTTCGATTTTGTGTATTTCAATTTCGATTTTGTGGGTTTCGATTTTAATTTTATAAAGTTCGATTTGTGGGTTTCAAAATCTAACAAACACTAGCAGGTGGTGGTGCGTGTGGGTTTTCATGTTTTTTAGGTCAAATTCAACCTTTAAAACTCAAATTTCAAGCCAATTTTTGAGGTTTTGGTGGAATTCAAGGTATGTTCCCTTTTGTCTATCTTTTATTTTGTTTTTTAAGTTTTATTTATAAATTTTATGGTGATGTGTGGTTGTAATGTCTTGTTTCAGGCATATCTGGTTTTGGTTGGGGTTTTGGTGGGGTCGTGGTGGGTAAGATGGGTTTATTTTTGTTTTTGAAGGTGGGTTGAAGGAGGTTGGTGGTGGTGGTGATACAATTGGCGCTCGCGGCTAGTGGTGCGCATGGCTGGTGGTGGAATTGAAACAAGAGCAGCAACCAATTTATCAATTTATTTACTGTTTTTTTTTTTTTTTTTGATGAAAATCAGAAAATGTAATATTAAAACAAGTGATTAATGAAAATATTTATGTTTATACATATGTAAGTGTTTTTGTATCAATTTAAGTGAAAAAAAAAAACCAAAATTTTCTTTTACTTTTTATAGCCATAATGGGCAGCGGTTTGGCGCCAAAATCGTTGCTCATTAACTACAAATGGCAAGCGATTTTAAACCGATTTCCATTTAAATGGAAAATGGCAAGCCCCCCAAGAGTATGCGGTTCAAACCGCTTCCGATTAGGCGGTTTGAACTACTTGCTATTTATTTTTTTATACTAGTGAAAAAAGCTGCGGGGTAGGAAGGAGAAGTTATTATCTCGGATCGAGAAGGAGGTGCTTTTAAAAGCTTTAATTCAAGAGATCCCGACCTACCTCATTGGTGTTACAAATTTCCAACAACTATCATCCAGAAAATAAAGTAAGCAATGGCAAACTTTTGGTGGAGTCATAGTAGCACTCAGAGGAAAGTTCATTGGAAGAATTGAGATAATATGTGCACTCTGAAATGCTTGGGGGGTAAAGAGTTCAAAGACCTAAGTGTCTTTAATGATGCTCTACTCAGACGCCAAGCATGGATATTAATCCGGAAGCCTGAGTCTTTGTTAGGGAGAGTCATGCGTGCTAAGTACTATCCAAACCGTACTTTCTTGGAGGCAGGTTTGGGTTATGTAGGAAGCTATTCATGGAGAAGTATTTGGAGATCAAAAGCACTTATTCTAGAAGGTTATATATGGAGAATCGGGAGAGGAAATAAAGTGAACGTTTGATCTGACTCTTGGTTAGCATACGAAGAGGGGAGGTTTATGACGAGTAACCCAATTGAGGGAGTGTAGCTACTAGGGTCTTTAATTCCACATGATAGTGACGAATGAAAAATTGACATACTTGAAGATCACTTTAACGAAAGGGATGTGAAATGCATTCTATCTATTCCCTTAAGTTAGCATGACAATGACGATGAAATCACATGGGCCTTTACCAACGATGGAGAGTACTCGGTAAAGTCATCTTACATGATTAGGAAAGGTTGCAGCTTAGACGATTTTCACAGGGATTTCATGGATATTTTGACTTTTGGAGGTTAAAGGTGAGCCCTAAAGTTTTCCATTTTTTACGGAAAATGTGCATTGGTACGCTGCCGGTTAAATTGCTACTTCTTCCTATTACATGACTGAAGAGGCGGGATGCCCATGGTGTGGTAGTGAAAAAACTATGGGGCACGCATTATTTGATTGCTCTCGTGTGAGTGCGCTGTGGATTGAGAGTGGATGTGCAGCAATGATGAAATGGGATGAACTGGGTCCTTTTTGTAACTTGGTGGAAAGTTGGAAAATTTTCTGATTCGAAATTAGTCCAAAAGGGAGCTTTACTTGTCTGGTGTATTTGGTATGAAAGAAACCAAAAAGTCTTTGAGAATAAAACTATAACAAATGAGATTTTCCTGGGAAGAGTGGAAAGATGGATGTAGGAACAAGGAAAGTATGGCGAGAAAATCTACCGCACAGATCCTGTGAAGCGCAGCCCTTGTGTTAAGGTATGGACAGCACCCCCTGAAGGTATTATTAAAATAAACTCGGATGCGAGTCTTGTGGAGGACGGTTGGGTGGGTATATGAGTTGTTGCCAGGAACCACTTGGGTTAGGTGGTTTTTGCTGCATCAAGGAGAGTGATAGCTCACTGGCCACCTGAGATTGTTGCGGCTAAAGCATTAGATTGTTCTCTGAAGCTGGGACGAAGGTATGGTTGCAAGGACATAGTGATGGAATCTGATTGTTTCATTTGCTGCTGGTTAATAGATTGTCAAAGGGTGATGCTTTCTTCACAGATCAAGATTCGATCTTACACTACTAAAAATTGGCCAAATTGCGACAGGCGTAAACGGTCGCAAAAAATAGTGAAAACGCAATACATAATTGCGACCGTCAACGGTCGCAACATGGAGGTCGTTATTATCTTGGTCGCAAAAAAAAAATATTACGACCGTTTGACGGTCACAGATTTTTAACGGTCGTTTTACCTATTTTCAATGACCGTTAAAAAAACGGTCGCAAATATTAAAAATTGCGACCGCCTTATGAAACGGTCGCAAATATTGAATTTAGCGACCGTTATAAGCCGTCGCTAAAAGTATTGAAAAAAACAAAAAAAAAGAAAAATACCCACCCACCCACCCTAACCTAGATCCACCCAAACCAGATCCCACCCAAACCACCACCACTACCCACCTTAAACAACCACTAGCCGCCTCTGCCACCCTCTACCCACCATCATCTTCGCCCACCTTCAACAACTGGCCAATACCCACCAACACCTATCCACTTTAACCCAGAAAACACACAAAAAAAAAAAAAAAAAAAAAAAACACAAAAAAACACCTACATAATTTTGAACAAAAAGCAAAAAAAAATGAAATAAAACATCATCAAACAATCTATGAAATTCGAACAAATAAAGAACAAATTCGAACAAATAAAATGCACCAAAATTATATAAAAAAATCAAACAAAAATTAAATAAAAAAATCGCCCAAAAATGCACAAAAATTAAACCAAAAAACGAACAAAAATTAAATAAAAAAATCGCCCAATTATTATACCCAAAAAAACCCCCCACAACTATTAAACCCACAATTCGAACAAAAAAATCGACAAAAAAATCAAACAAAAAATCTATGAAATTTGAACAATTAAAGAACAAATTCGAAAAGAATTAACAAAAACTCGAAATTCAACCAAAAAATTCGAAAATAAACAAAATTTTTAGAAAAAATAAACATACCTTTCATAATATATCTTCCTCTTTAGGTTTATATGGTCAAATTCGACCAAGAAAACTCCAGATCTGGAATTTTAAGGTCCAATTTGACCATGAAAAACCATAACTCGTTTGTTGAAGAAATCCGAACACCATAATTTGTTTGTCGACGAAAATACGTACACCAAAACTACAGCTCTGAAAAAAATGAAGAAGAAAAAGAGAATGAAGATGGAGGGGCGTGAGAAGCGAACGAAAATGGAGAAGTCAGAAGAAGAAGAAAGGAAACAAAAGAAGTAAGGATAGAGAAAAAAGAGATGGAGGAGCATGAGAAAGAGAAGTAAGAAAGAAAGAGCAGGAGAGAGAAAAGAAAGAGGAGGGGTGAGGCGTAAGGGAGTGTGAAGTAGATTAGGGTTTGTGAATAAGGTATGCTTTTATACCGTATTTTTTTAATTAAAAAAAAGGGTCTTTTACGACCGTTTTGCCGGTTGCAGATTATGATTATTTACGACTGTCTCTTTGACGGTCGCTGATTATGACATTTACGACCGTCTTTGCCGGTCGCAGATTATGATTATTTACGACCGTCTCTTTGACGGTCGCAGATTATGACATTTACAACCGTCTTTGACGGTCGCAAACAATTTATTTTAATTTGGAATTATTTTTAATTGTTCAAATATCCTAGCGACCGTCTAAAAGGCTAAAAACGGCCGTAAAACGGTCGCAAATTTGCGGCCGTTGTCAAAGCAGTCGTAATATTGCGACCACATAAAAAAGGCACAAAATATGAATTTTGCGACCGTTTTTCAGACGGTCGTAGAAAAACGGTCATAATTTAGCCGAATTTTAGTAGTGTTAGGAGATATTCTTTCTCAAAGTGTACACTTTAAATCTGTTAGTTGGTCTCATATTAAAAGGGATGGTAACTATGTTGCCCACCATCTTGCTAGGAAAGTTCCGTTTGGTTTAGAACAGGTATGGGAGTACCACGCTCCAAATGAGGTCTCCCCATATGTATTGATCGACATGATGTCTTTGAATTAATGAACTAGCTAGCTTTCTTTCAAAAAAAAAATTATAGATCATTTTTCAGATTGTATAAGACAATAATCAATTGAATCAAATTATATATGAGCTAACCAGGTTTAAATTGATCAAAGTCTGATTATTTTAGGTTTGATTAGATTCTTATCAACCCTAGTAACAAATTGGCATCTCTATGATCCAAACCAATAGGTCACCATTAAATCATTTGAATAAGAACAATTGCAAATCAACCTCGACCTAATCTTCGACAACAATCAAATTTCTTCAATTTTCCAGCATTTTTCTTAAATAGTCTTATACAACCTCCCACAACCCAAAAATAATTAATGGACATAACAAATTAATGCAAGGAAGCTCAAATCCGTAAAATTATTCACAAATTTCAATTAAAATAAACCCAATAAACAGGCAAACAAAGATGGAAGAGAAAGGAAAAAAATATACATAATAAACAAAGAAGAAACTAAAAAAAAAACTGATGAAACATGGTATTGTTTTGATTTTATTTTTTGTCAATCTATTATATAATTGCAGAGTCGTTTTGGCAGCACTTAACCACATCACTCCAAACCTCCAACTCTCAATTCTCATGCACTCCCTTCTTTTTTTTTTATGTGTGTTTAATAAAATAACTTCCAAATAACTGCGTGCTACAAAACCTCAATCCTGCAATTTGGTACAATTTTTTTTTTTGTTATATAATTGCAGAGTCATTTTGGCAGCACTTAACCACATCACTCCAAACCTCTAACTCTCAATTCTCATGCACTCCCTTCTTTTTATTTTTTTTATTTTTTTTATGTGTGTTTAATAAAATAACTTTTAAATAACTGCATGCTACAAAACCTCAATCCTGCGATTTGGTAAAATTTTTTTTTTTTTTTTTTTTGTGGAAAATAACTACCCTATCTTTTCTTATTCTTTTTTTTACTTTTTTTTTGTTGTTGTCAATAACTTCCACTTCTCTTCCACTTCTCTAAATATATATTATAATTACAGAGACATTTTTCACGAGAATCCTCCAAAACCCCAATACTCAACTCTCATGCATTTAGTTTTTTTAATAATAATAATAATAATAATAAAATACTACCTATCCCACAATTTTATTTTTATTTATTTATTTATTTTATCATTTTTAAAAAAAATCAATTACTACCCATCCAATATTTCCTTTTTGTTTCTGTATTTGTTTTTTTTTTTCGAAGAACTACTAATAACATTTCACTTTGTGT